CCACTGTCGCCAAGTGCTTGCTCAAGGGGGATTTGTTGGGTTTTCCCTATGTAATAATATTGATAACAGTAAGGTCTAGACCTTACTTTGTAAAGTGTCCTGAGATGACTTGTGTTGTGATTTGGCGCTATACAAATAAAATTTGATTTGATTTAGTAAATGCTAATAATGACCAGATTCATGCAATTTATTTATTCATAAAATGTAGGGGAAAACTGCTAATAGTGTACTACTGTGCTTGTACTTGGGGTAAGTAACATTTTGAATGCAGGACTTTAAAAATGTATTTTTATAATATGAGTATTTGTTTCATGCCAAACAAAAGCCAAACAAACAAATGGATAACTAAACACAAAAACAAATACATACGATAAATGAACAAATAAAAACAATTAAAAAATAAGTCTCCAACCTACCCAATATAGACCCAACCACCTCTACATTTTATTCTAACACAGCCCAGTAAGCTTCAAACAACCTTTGTGCTTGACTTTTGTACAACCTACTCCAGGCTACCCTCACTCATATGCGTGAACGTGGTAATTCCCTGATGTCCGACAGCTCCTGAAAGTAGCAACAGTATAGTGGGCTAATCCATATCGGCTGGCGCAAACCCCTACAAGCGGCTGCAGCTTCTTTCCGCACTCAGGCTAATATCAACATCAAACGGCGTTTATAGAGGACGTTTGCTTGAATCAGGCGAGTACAGTTCGAATTAGTAGGAATTTAAATGTTGTCTGTTTTTATATGGCTTCAGTTTGGTGATAGAGGATTAACTGTGTTACCGTCTCCTGTCGCATATGTGGGGATGTTGTTGTTGTGTCGCGACCTGGTGCGATAGCCTCTGCTATGGTCAGTATCACATATTAAATATTATCACAATTTGACCATAGACGTCGTTTTTAATTGTGTCCGAGAGGCACTGCTGAGAACAGGCTGAAATAGCTAGCCGCTAACGTTAACCTCAAGATAGCATTAGCATAAAACGTAAATCATGAGTGGAGCTCCAGGCTATCCAAATAAAGATTATTATTTACAGCTAGCAACAATGTTAGATATCCTGACTATTTTAAATAGTGTACGGATTATGGCAATTATGAGAGAATTTGTCACGCTCCTGCTCTGTCGCCCGTCCAAGCGTAGCGTTAGCAAAAGTGAAGGTCTGGCAATATGAGACTGCCAGTCTAATATTAAAATAACGACACGGGTATATTTAGGGGTGTTTTCACATGTTATGTAACCTAGGTGCCATTTTATTAATATCCTCACGTTATATGTTAATACAGCTCAAAGGCTTTCGTGCGACTTCAAGACTTTCTAGAAGTTTCTATTAATTTGACCGGGGCTTCTGTGTTAGCTGAGTTATCGCCACACTGGTGATGTGCTATTGGCCAGCTGGTGTTAGCTTTACCACAGTGCAGAAACACGATGTGTGCATATTCTCAGTTTAGGCACGAGTTTGATTTCAGTGACTGTTTTCATTGGTTACAGAGGCCTGGGAAATACCGGGGATACTTATGCAGCTGGAGAGGACAAAAATACAGACACCTCTGAATACAGTGTAGTCCAGGACAACACCACCTTTTACTATGACCTCAATAATAAACATATAATGGAATATATACATTTATAATAATTTTACCAAGAACTGAAACATTTTGAGGTCCATAAACAGATTTTATGGCAGAAGTGTTGCATTGAAGTGCATACATGCTCAGTGCTGTTCAAAGAAAATGGGGTCTTTTGGGATGATGGGGCCTCATAGAACATGCTTCCACTAATAGAAAGCTCAAATGAGTTGCTGATCATGTCCACATGCTGCATTGTTTAAAGCATAAACACTTCACTTGTTGCTATGAATCGTTTAAGGTTAAGTTCAAGCTCATGTTGTGTTTAGCTGTCATCTGCGTGTCTCTGTTCTGTCAGCAGTATTTTGTTTTAGGTGCTGGTTTCTAGCTTACAGAGCCTGTTTTGTCCGTTGCTCCTGTCTTGTTAATGTCAAATGTGTAGTGGTGTACTCCAGCTGTCTGTTTTTTTTTTTACAGTATGAGGCTGGGTTTGCAGGTGCTGATTAAAAAAAAAAAATCTTTGGTGGAAATTGGGCCTTAAAAAAGGATATAATTTGTAATCTTGGATAGTTGCCACTTGTTTTTGCTTCCATAGCCAGAAACAGAAATACTCAACAGAAAAAAAAAAAAAATCTTGAGCTGCTCTTTAGGTAGATGTATAGGTCTGTTAAAGCGTTTCAGGACATTTTCAGTAAGCATGCAGTTTCAGAAGCTGTCATTGTTAGGGAAATTCCAGTCACATTGCAGACCTCCAGCCCTGATCAGTGTTCTGATGTACGCACTTTCTTTTTAAACGGTCTGATGTGATATTCACTGATGTTTTAAGTGCACACAGCCGACATCAAGCCAGTCTCAGAATTAGCTGTCCAGATGTGTGATTACTGTTGAATAGCTCTGAATTAATAACACTAACTTGTGTAACATCTTTCCTTTAGTTGTGTACTGTATTTTACATTGAGGTCTGTGGTGTTTTGTAATAATATTTTTGGATTGATTCAATAAATAAAAATTCACAGATTTGAAAATAGAAATAGCAGCACAAAAATGTTTGTTTACAGCATCATGTATTTGACCTTTATTTATCTAGTTTGAAGTTTAAAGTGTTTCTTTGTTAATTTGTGTTATGTGAAATATGCAGTCTCAGTACGCTTATCTATGTCGTGTGTTCTTGCATTATGCTAGATTCTTTGGTTTAATGTGTTCTGAAAGTGGGTAAACATGTTCCTACCTGTTCTTTGAGCATGGAGTCAGAATGAGTATTGATTACATAAAAGAGGATTTGCCCAAATGATTAACAATGGGTCACAAACTATGACCAGATTTATTACTGTATGCATGGAATGGATCCCAAATACCACATAAAAGCAAATAAATTAGTAGGTACTAAGTA